TTTTTTAGAAATAGAGTCTTGCTCTGTCTCCTATGCTGGAGTGCAATGGCGTGATCTCAGCTCACTGCAACCTCCACCTCCCTGGCTCAAGCAATTATCCTGTCCCAGCCTCCCAAATAGCTGGGATTTCAGGCACCCACCACCACACCTTTCCAATGTTTTGTATTTTTAGTAGAGACAGGGTTTCGCCATGTTGGCCAGGCTTGCCTTGAACGTCTGACCTCAGTTGACCCATCCACCTCGGCCTCCCAAAGTGCTGGAATTACAGGTGTGAGCCACCGTGCCCGGCCATTTTAACTTTCTGTAAGAGATTTGCCCAGCCTGAGCGACATGGTGAAACCCCGTCTTTACCAAAAATACAAAGAAATTAGCAGGACGTGGTGGCGTGTGCCTGTGGTCCCAGCTACTTGGGAGGCTGATGTGGGAGGATGGTTTGAGCCAGGGAGGCAGAAGTTGCAGGGAGCTGAGATCGCACCATTGCATTCCAGCTTGGGCAATAGAACCAGACCCTGTCTCCAAAAAAACAGAGCTTTGTGTCCATTTTATGATAGTAAATGATAAGATAGACTAGTATCTACATGTATTTTTTTGCATTTGTGGCATATCTATCTTTTGCTTAAATTTTTTTTAGTAGTTCTAGGCTTGTGGTTCCTCTGCAAGTTTTTTCAAATTGTTGCAAATCTCTGAAAATGTTTCCAATATATTTACTGAAAAAAATCCACAAGACATGGACCTGCACTGTTCAACCCTGTGCTAGTCGGAGGTCAACTGTATAGTCTGTAATACATGACGGGTACTATGCTGAGTGTCTGACAATGAGCGTTATCTCACATCAGCTTCACACAGCCCTGTGGTTTAGCTATGCCACCGCTGTACAGAAGGGCAGGTGTTCACTGCACCAGGGTGCTGGGCAGAGGGGCAGACACTGACTAAATTCTAGCCTGTGCTTTGCTCACCAGGCCGTATGCCTGCCTTGCTTGCATCAAGATAAGGAGTATTGTGTTCTAATTTGAAGAAATACGCCAGCCACTCCATAGGCAGTACTTGGTGCAGGGTGGACTCCACTGGAAAGGAGCACTTAATTTGCACAAATGCTGCACAAGATAGCTTCGATCCTAGAACAGGGTGAAGAAACTTGCCTGAGGCCCTACAGCAAGGAAGGGGCAAACGTGGGATGTGATCCTTCCAAGCAGGACCCACAAGGGCCAGGGGACATTTGGGAAACTTGGGGGTATGGGGGTTAACCCTGTATTTGTGGTCCATTTTGCAAAGGATAGCATCCCAAATCCATGAGAGGGAGGGGAGAGGGGAGCGGCTGTGAAGGAGACAGACACCTGGGCCCCTGCTCTAAACGACCACACTGCCATGAACATGATGATGATGTATTGGGGCACAAGAAATGGCAGCCACCGGCTGGTGTGCACGAACTGACTTCTGCAGATGAGCTCTGTTCAGGTTCACATGTCTACGCATGCAAGGATTTTTCTTGCAATTGATGATATATCCCCAGCACCCAGAAGAGAGACTGGCACACAATAGGTGCTCAGTAAATGTTTGCTCAGTGAATGAATGAATGCCCCTAATAGCCCTCCAAAGAAAGCTCTATGGCTGTTTTACCAATACGGAAACAGGCCAGAGAAATTAAGTAACTTTTTTTGGAAGCCAGAAATAAGCCTGGCATCTGTGCAGTGACAACACCAGGGAATTTCAGTAAAAACCCAAACTCCAGCCCAGGCAGCCCCACTGCCTCCTCCTGCACCACGGGGTGCCAAGGCCAGCTCTCTTTGGCCCCTGCTCCACAGCCCCTGCTGGGCACTGGGCTGCTTCTCCCAGTTCCTCTTGCCTTCTCCCACTAAAGGCAAATCCACTGCCTCCCTGGGGCCCAGGAGAGTTGGCGTGATCCACCCTAGGCGCCGCTACTCCCGTGAGCCCCAAACCTCCTACCACCTCCCCCGGCAGGCCAAGCCTGTGCACCTGAGAGACGACCCCCCCCCGCCCCTACTGTTTTCTCCAGTGGCTCTTTACCTGTTCAGTATCCACGTCTTCATTATCCTTCCCCTACTCTATCCCCCAAGCCCCCAAACACCAAATATAAACAGCATGACAGCAAAAACTTTTCAGTCATGACTGCATTCTGTGTGTGTGTGTGGCAGCAGGTAGGGGAGGGAGAACAGGGTTTCACTCTTGCTCAGGCTGGAGTGCAGTGACACGGCTCACTGCAGCCTTGAACTCCTGTGCTCAAGTGTTTCTCCCACTTCAGCTTCCCAAGTACCTGGGACCACAGGCGCATGCCACCACAGCCAGCTAATTCCTCCTTTCCTTCCTTCCTTGCCTCCTTCCTTTCCTTCTTTTCCTTCTTTTCCTTCCTTCCTTCCTTCGTGGATAGAGGTCTCCCTATATTGCCCAGGCTGGTCTCAAACAAACAACCTGTGCTCAAGGAATCCTCCTGCCTCAGCCTCCCAAAGTGCTAAAATTACAGGCCTGAGCCGCCGCACCCAACCTACTGCTGTACTTTCCACAGCTCGAGATATCATGTACATATCATCAAATTCACCCACGTTAAGTGTACGATTCAATGAGCTTTAGAACATTTGCATGACCCTAGTAAAATCCTTCATGTTCATTTAAACCTGATCTTGGGCCAGGCAGGTGGCTCACGCCTATAATCTCAGCACTTTGGGAGGCCAGGGCGGGCGGATTACCTGAGACCAGTCTGGCCAACATGACAAAACTCATCTCTACTAAAAATACAACAATTGGCAGAGTGTGGTGGCGGGCGCCTGTCATCCCAGCCACTCTCCTGAGTCAGTCTCCCGACTGAGCCTTGAGAACCACTTGAACCTGGGAGGTGGACGTTGCAATGAGCTGAGATCACGCCACTGTACTCCAGCCTGTATGACAGGGCAAGACCCTGTCTAAAAAAAAAAAAAAAAAAAAAAAAAAAAAAAAACCCAGCCAGGCGCGGTGGCTCACGCCTGTAATCCCAGCACTTTGGGAGGCCGAGATGGGCAGATCACAAGGTCAGGAGTTCGAGACCAGCCTGACCAACGTGGTGAAACCCTGTCTCTACTAAAATATAAAAAATTAGCCGGGCGTGGTGGCACATGCCTATAGTTCAAGCTACTAGGGAGGTTGAGGCAGGGGAATCACTTGAACCCGGGTGGTGGAGGTTGCTTTGAGCTGAGATGGTGCCACTGGACTCCAGCCTAGTGATGGAGCAAGACTCCATCTCAAAGAACAAAACAAAACAAACACAAGAAAAACCCAACTTAATCTCCACTTCTACTTTCAGCCCCCAGACAACCACAGATCTACTTTCTGACTCTGTAACCTTGCCTATTCTGGACATTTCATATAAATGAAATCCTACAATATGTGTTTTGTTTGTTTGTTTGTTTGTTTGTTGAGACGGAGTCTCACTCTTGTTGCCCAGGCTGGAGTGCAGTGGCACGATCTCGGCTCACTGCAACTTCTGCCTCCCACGTTCAAGAGATTCTTCTGCCTCAGCCTCCCAAGTAGCTGGGATTACAGGTATGCGCCATTACATCAGGTTAATTTTGTATTTTTAGTAGAGATGGGGTTTTTCCGTGTCGGTCAGTCTGGTCTTGAACTCCTGACCTCAGGTGATCCACCTGCCTTGGTCTCTCAAACTGCTGGGATTATAGGTGTGAACTACCGCGCCCGGCCAATATATGGTCTTTTATGTCTGGCTCGTTTCACTCAGCATAAGGTTGTAGCATGTATGGGTAGCTCATTCTTTTTTATTGCCAAATAGAATTCCAGTATATGGATGTGCCACTTTTTAAAATCACTCACCAGTTGATGGGCTGCCAGGTAACATTTCCACGGTTGGCAATCGTGACCAACACTGCTGTGAACATTTAGGATTGAGTCTTTACGTGGACCTGTGTTTCCGTTTCTCTGAAGTAAATACCTACGGTGGAATTGTTGGACCGCGTGGTGAATTTATGTTTAACTTTTTAAGCAACTGCCACCTGCTTTCCAAAGTGGTGGCACCACCTCCCGTTATTCTTGTCAGCAATGAACGAGGCCCCTGTTTCTCCAGATCCCCGCCAACCCTTGGCATTGTCTGACTTTTTGTTTGTTTGTGGCCATTCTAGTGGATGTGAAATGATATCTCATTGTGCCCCATCAATGTCTGAACGAACTAACAGATCACCTGTGAAGCTGGACAGCGCTTGGGTTTGAACCCCGGTGGCAACGTTTCACAAGCTGGATCACCTGGAGAAAGTCACTTCCCCACGGCAAGGGACAGGATTTTATGACCTAGAAGCAAAGTGTCTGCTGTGGATTATGTGCCGTGAAAATGCAGCTGCTGTCATCATTGCTGCCACCACTATTTTATTATTTTTATTTTTATTGTCACCCCAGAGATAATCCTGCACCAGTGACAGGGAAAACAGCAGCTGACATCCGCTGTGCGTTCACTACCACACGCCAGGCTTTCTTCAAAGCACTCGATGTGTATTAGTAATCTTTTAATCTACCTACATACCATTTTAATCTTCACGCGAGAATGCGTTGATCTGTGAGATGGGTACTATGACAATCTCTGCTCTGCAGGGGGAAAAGCAGAGACGCAGAGAATTTAAGTCATTTCTCCCAGATCACAAAGTCGGGAAGGAACAGATCTCATGGAGCCCAGCTCTCTGTCACTGCATCACACTTCCTGCCCTTACAAGGCAAACTGGATAAGTGCCATTCTAGAGAAGCAGACAAAATTCAAGTGGAGGAGAGGGGAGGGGAGAAAGACGTCGGCTGGGGCCTGTTTAGAGCATCCCAAGCTGAGGCTGCGGGAGGAGGGAGGCACGCCGTTGTGGAATGTGTTCCCCTTTTTGCATACTGACCAGCCCTGGCCGCCAAGCTCAAGGCATCTTTGTGCCACTGTTCAACAGTGAGTGACGTCATGAGCACGGCCAGGTCTTTATCAGTTCTGCCAGATAAAAAGCCAACCGCACTGGGTCTGGAGAGACAGAAAGGTGCTGTGCAGCAGATACCTTGGGGTCTCAAAGAAGCAGGTGAGCCTGGGCCCGAGGGGCTGGGTGGAGGAGCACCTGGGTGCTTCTCTGCTGGGGAAGGAAGGGGACAGGGCATGCTCAGGAAGACAGGCAGGGAGACCCCGCCTAGAAAGCACCTGGAGGCAAGAGGGGTGGGCATGGTGACCACGTGCCCTTTTGGGTGAGATGCTGCTGGCCAGGGCAGGAAGGCCCCCCACTACCAGCTCCGTGTCACTCTCTCTCACCAGTGGCCACCAGCATGGGTGCAGGCCGCGACGGGTCCTACTTCCCCGGCAATCACTGGCTCGCCTTCTCCGTGTACCTCCTCACCTTCCTGGTGGGGCTCCCCCTCAACCTGCTGTCCCTGGTGGTCTTCGTGGGCAAGCTGCGGCGCCGCCCGGTGGCCGTGGACATGCTCCTGCTCAACCTGACCGCCTCGGACCTGCTCCTGCTGCTGTTCCTGCCCTTCCGCATGGTGGAGGCAGCCAGTGGCATGCACTGGCCCCTGCCCTTCATCCTCTGCCCGCTCTCAGGATTCATCTTCTTCACCACCGTCTATCTCACCGCCCTCTCCCTGGCAGCCGTGAGCATTGAGCGCTTCCTGAGCGTGGCCTACCCGCTGTGGTACAAGACCCGGCCGAGGCTGGGACAAGCGGGTGTGGTGAGTGTGGCCTGCTGGCTGCTGGCCTCTGCTCACTGCAGCGTGGTCTATGTCATGGAATTCTCGGGGGACTCCTCTCACAGGCGGGGTACCATTGGGACTTGCTACCTGGAGTTCCGGGAGGACCAGCTGGCCATTCTGCTGCCTGTGAGGTTGGAGATGGTTGTGGTCCTCTTTTTGGTCCCTCTGCTCATCACCAGCTACTGCTACAGCCGCCTGGTGTGGATCCTCGGCAGGGCAGGCAGCCGCCGACGGCAGAGGAGGGTGGCGGGGCTGGTGGCAGCCACGCTGCTCAACTTCCTCGTCTGCTTTGGGCCTTTCCACATGTCCCATGTCGTGGGCTTTGTCCAGGGTGAAAGCCCGGCGTGGAGGATCTATGTGATGCTTCTCAGCACCCTGAACTCCTGTGTCGACCCCTTTGTCTACTACTTCTCCTCGTCCGCGTTCCAAGCCGACTTTCATGAGCTGCTGAGGAGGCTGCGTGGGCTCTGTGGTCCAAGGTGGCAGGAGGGCAGTGTGGAGCTGAAGGAGCAGAAAGGAGGAAAGGAGCAGGGAGAGGACTGTCTAGCTGAAAGAAAGGGCAGTGAACACTCACAAGGCTCTGGTGCTGGCGGCCAGGTGGACTGTGCTGAAAGCTAGGTCCTCTGGGGCAGGAGGGTGTAGCTGGCGAGTCATCTTCAGAGTATTTCCTCACCCACACCAGGCGGGACTTGGAGTGGCCAACTGGGAATCAATGGGGCTTGGAGGTAGAGCAGGCACCTAAGGGTGTGCGCCCTAAATCTGAGCTCTTGCTCTCACCTCCATCCCCATCCATCCACGCTCTATGGATTGGGCTCTGGGAAGGGGTCAGGGTGAGCGGCTGCTCGGGAGAACATTGAGGTCCTCATAGCAGCAGGCGACTCCTGTGCTTTTCTGATGGGGGCACAGGAGCTAAGAGCAGTGCCCGGGGTCTGAGGGGGCAGACCAGTGAGTGGCAGGGCTGGGAGAGGGGAGAAACCCATCCTCAGGGCTGCTCCCAGCTGGCGAGTCAGGAGCGTGGGAGACAGGGCTCCAGGGATGAGGCTGCATTCTGCCCCCACAGCGCCTTTTCCAGAAAAGGCCATTCCCATTGCTCAATACATTTGGGTCAGAGAACAATGACAAATTTGGATCATGAACAATGACAGAAGAAAAATTACCCAAATAAATGAGGAAGCAAGCCAAGAAGAACGGTCTTTCCTTCTTCTCCTCTTTTGTTCTGGTGGTGCGCTTGGGCCGGGGGGCTGGTGGATGGAAGGGGAAAACACCAGACTCCAGAGGAAAAGGGCCAAATGCCGGGAAGCCTGGATGCCGGGAGAGATCTGGCCTGCAGGGATGCAAAGACCAGCTGCCCGGTCTGCAGGACCTGGCCTGACACATCATCTTCTATCTCTCAATAGCCCTGTGGTAGATACCAGCATTATCCCCAGTTTCAGATGATGGAATGGCCCAGAGAGGTGACATCTCCTGCCTGAGATCCCATAGCTGGTGGGTGACTGAAGTGGGACCAGAAGCTGCAGTCAGTTGGCTCTGACACCCATGCCCCTGAGCCACTCTGCAGTTTTCCAGCTGTGTGTCACTTGTGGTCACCTAGCCCAGTCAAATGTTCCCAAGTCAGATGAGGCCATCTGAGCAGGACACATGTAAACAGGGTGTGATAAGAAACAGAAGGAAATGCAAAGCGCGGTGACTCTCTGTGTGGGTACATCCTCTCTCCAGTAAAAAAGCCCTCTTGAAAAATATAGATTAAGATAATTAGAGCCAGTGATTACACAGGTGACTCACAGTGGGCACCTGATGCTCCTCAATCTTAGCTAATGCAAGATCTCTTCAGCTTCTAATGTCCTCGCCCCCTTCAGGAGCCTTTTTGGATATGCATCTTTCCTAAGCAGCCCATTCCTCTGCCTGCTTATGCAATTTCAATGCAACCAACACACTGTCTATCTGTGTATGTTACACCCTTTAGAAAGACACAAACCAGGTGGATGCTGTGGCTCGTGCCTATAATCCCAGCACTTTGGGATACCGAGGTGGGTGAATCGCTTGAGGTCGGGAGTTTGAGACCAGCCTGGCCAACACGGTGAAACTTTGTCTCTACTAAAAATGCAAAAATTAGCTGGGCGTAGTGGTGGGCACGTGTAATCCCAGCTACTCGGGAGGCTGAGGTAGGAGATTTGCTTGAGCCCAGGAGGCGGAGGTTGCAGTGAGCCGAGAATGCGCCACTGCATTCCAGCCTGAGTGACAGAGAGAGACTCCGTCTCAAAAAAAGAAGGAAAAGAAAGGAAGATACAAACCCTTGTGAGTTTTTTTTTTTTTTTTGTAGTTGTTGTTCCCCAAGAACTAGTTTCGCATTCTTGGGATCAATATTGTTGCCTCTGAGGATGTCTGAGCCATGGAAATGGTTCAGTCTAATATACTGATAGAGCCTGTCGCACGGAACTCTAGCCCAACAAAACTAGGCTGAGGATCTTGCTGCAGGAAGGGAGATCACACGCCGCAAGAAGCATGGAGCCTTGTACAAGAGAAGAGACACAGTTATTGAATTTGAGCCAAGGGTAGCATGGATTTAGATGAAGAGGGGTGTGATAGGCTCAACGCAAGGCAGGGATATGTGGAGAGGCCAATGTTAGGTGGGGGCCAGGAAGACTACTTAAGGTCCCGTTTCCCTGGAAAATACCAAGCAACGATAAAGGTATTGGAAAACTCCTTATCTGAAGCTCTGACGGGTTGAAAATCAAGGCTGCATCTCTGTGTCAGAGACACCGATCCTCTAAGCAGAAGCACGTGTTCCTTTCTCACTGATTTCATGCAGCTACGTTTCTGACTATCTTTGACTTTTGAGAAGCAGGTTTCTCAGCAATATCCTTTTTGTTAATTAGCAAAACAAGTTTTTAAAGGTTTACAAGAGGAACTTTTTTAGAAGGAGAGATCCTCCTTCACTGAAACCAAGGGCAGGGCAACCCAGAAGGACAGGAGGAAGGGAAGCCTCGACCTATCTCAGCTACAGCTTCCCTGGACCACAGCGCACAGGGGAGTGAGGGGAAACTAGAAATTTTAAATCACCCAGTGTTGGCCAGGTGGGATGGTTCACACCTGTAATCCCAGTAACTTCAGAGGCTGAAGTGGGAGGATTACTTGAAGCCAAAAGTTCGAGACCAGCTTAGGCAATGTAGCAAGACTCCTTCCTCTAAGGAAACAAAAAAAATTAGCTGGGCATGGTAGCACATGCCCATTAGTCCCAGCTGCTCATGAGGCTGAGGCGGGAGGATTGCTTGAG